AGGTGCCGACATGTGCATACTTACGAACATATTTATATACATACATATGTACATTAGGGTGGGTCAGATTGTTTTACGAAAGTTTTTCAACAAATCGCATGGTATTTTCGGTTTCTATAAATAATTCTCAAAGAAAATGTGGAATAAACTAATTTGGAAACGAATTTGTTTACCTTTTGTTTTAGCTAATGGATACAAAATAGCTATATATTAATTTATAACATTTATATTTTAATTACCACATTTATCAAGCAAAAACACACCCCGTGTCAAAATTATAAACGGCCCACATATTGAAAAGTTTTACCAAATTTATTTTTGACCGACTTTTTTTATGTAAGTATGTTACCGCATAACTCAGGACCACGTTAACCGCTTTCTATATTCTTTTTTTAAGGAAAGGTGGTTCCTCAGAGGTAGTCCCATACTTATTTGGTTTAGATTATTCGATCATGAAGAAATTAACGGTACTCTTAAATTTTTATATGAGAATTGAAGTCGATTATTTAATTTTAGTTAATTTTTTTTATAAAGATAAAGCTTACTCCTTAACAAAAATCTACGAATTCAAGTTTCAAACTTTGTGCAATATTTAAAAAAAACAAAGAACTTTGGCAAATATTTCAAGCTTTTATATATGATTGGGCCAAGTTCCTATTGAAATTGTTTGCTTTTTAGTTGGATTTCTTAGAAAGATTTTGAGTATATAGGTAGGTTTTGTAGTCCAATTAGTCGTATGGGGTCCCAAGTGACCTCAATAAAAGTGTTTTCAAAAAAAAAAACGAAGTGTGTATTAACACAAAAATATTAAAGTACTCTATTACGGTTAACTTAAAAAAAGAAAAACACAATTTCGACTTCAAACTTGAAACAAAAAAAAATAAAAACTTACCTAAACTTTCTCTGAGAATTATCTGCATAATCAGAAAAACTGACCCGCACTAATGTACATACATACACATGTGCACAAACATAAGCGCACACATCAACACAGCAGATTACTGCAAAACACTGGTACATACATACATACATACAAACAGACAACGAATGATAGTTGGAATTGTGTGGAATTTTCTAATGTGGCGTAAAATGTTGCACATACGCACGGGTGTACAGCAGCTGTTATTTAAGTCATAAATACAACACAGCGAACCTTTGCTGCAAGAGTGCTATAATCCAAAAAATAATATAATATTCTTTGTTAGGCGTGCTGTAATGACCGCCACCTATTATTCTAATTGCATAGTTGTATCGATTAACAATAGCTCATTAGAAGAAAAGCTTTCTTAATTTTTACCATTAGAGCGTCCGTAAATTGTAAACTAACAAGGCATTTTGTCGGATTTGTGATTTTCTGGATTATGACACTCTTTCAGCAAAGGTATGATATGTGTATGTAAGTATGCAGTTTAAATGGAAAATTTGAATAAATAAATCAAGTTCTTGGCACATTTGCTATTATGAACGCTTCATGAATCAAGTGGCTTACAAAATATATTAAACACACTTACATTGCTGAACATTTATTCATGCAAATAAAAATGGAAAAGTCGGTTGATTTTCAGGCGAAAACATTTGAAGCAATCTAGCGTAATATTGACTATGATGTTATTTAATTGGACACAAATATCTTTAGCAATAGAATTTATCTTGTTTACAAATAGTCATTAATAAAATTTATTTTTACATGCTCTGGGTGACACATATCTGGTATTACAAAACAATTTATCAAATTCTGTACGTTCCGAAAGAGATTAGCTCACTGCGATGTTAAGACCAGTATGCTTCTATTAACACCTCATCTATTCAAATGAGAAATTGGCGAATGTGAAAATTCTATTGAAATTTTTTCGACTTAGCCCATTTTTGAAACAACTATTTTGGAAATTCTCAACTGGGTGTCATGTTGTTGCATGTCGTAAACTTTAAACGGCTAAAAATATATTCAGAAAATTCGCAAGGTATAGGAAGACGATTTTCATTGCAAACTTTCTTTTGGCTGCCATTGCCATACATTCTTCAAGAGCGCAATAATTCTCCATTTGTCAGATAATTACTTAATATTAAGACTAAGATTTTCATTGATAAACAAATGGTTCAAAGCATTTTGTGCTCAGCACAGCCGAGCAAAGCACAGTTACGGCAAATCAAAAGTAATAAATTGTTTTTAATAAACTGCCGACCCAAATGCAAAAATAGTAGTGCAGTTGCTGCCGTGCTGATAGTTTTTCGCAACCACTGAATCACTCGTTCCCTATTCCTATATGATTCGACATCCAGTAAATAGCGCTTATTAATACAGGGCTGGTATTCTGCTACTTTATTGTAACCGCCTAAGATATTTTAGCCGAGTCCAAAACAGCACGGCAGTTATTTCTCTTCTGTGCCAACTGACGCCAATTCGAAACGCCAACTCCAAATCCTTTTCCACCTGGTATTTCCAGCGCAGAAGAGGCCTTCTTCCTCATCTGTTACCAGCATCGCGGCCCCCTTTGAACACCTTCAGAACAGGAGGCCTTCTGTTCATTTGAACGACATGGCCAAGCCAGTGGAGCCGCCGAATTTTAATTGGCTGCACTGACTATATCGTTGTAAAGCACATATAGCTCATCGTTAGATCGTCTGGGGTGTTCGTCATAGCCAACACGTAAAGGCCCGTAAATCTTTTGTAGAATATTTCTCTCGACTCCAAAAACCACTTCAACAGATATTTTAATTGTCCATGCTTCCGCGCACAGACACAGCACAGGCATGATGAGTGACTTGAAGTATTGTGCTTGAGCGGTTCAGTTCTGCAGCTCTTACTATCTTCTCCAACATTGGATTAAAGAAATTACACGAAAGGGTGTCACCTTGACAGTATTTCACGCAATACACTTGATAAGACCTTGTAACCTATGCTTTTAAGGCCGATCCCGCTATAGTTGGCGCATCGCCTTTCTTTTAGATTGGGCAGAGCACACTTAAATTCCAGTCGTCGAGCATGCGTTCGTCTGACTATATTCTGCATAATAGATTGGTGCATGCAGTTTATCAGTTTCTCGCCTCCGTATTTCAATAGCTCCAGCCGCTTTGTGGTTTTTCAGCCGCGTAATCGCTACTAGGACCTCGTCATAGTCAGGTGGTGCGCCATCGACTCCATCGTCATCAATTGGCGGCACGGGTTCTTCTTTACTACTGTCAGTGCTGCTGCCATTCAATAGGAAGGAACAGTGCTGCCTCCATAATTTGAGTACGTTCTGGACATCGGTCTCTGGCTCGCCATGGTTGGCATCACAGGAGTTTACCCTGGTCTTAAAACCTTCCGTAAGTCGCCTAAGTTTCTGGTAAAATTGTTGGGCGTTTTTCCTGCCGGCCAACATTTTCAGCTCTTCCCACTCACGTATTTCGGCCTCTCTCTTCTTATTGGTGCAAATACGTCTCGCTTTTCGCGTGGCCCTGTAGACGACATCTTTTTTCTCTGCAGCCTCTTGACTCTGCTTCTCTCTTCATCGTACCAGTTGTTCTTTCGCACTGGCTGAAATCCGACTTCTTCAGCGGCAGTACTTAGTGAGCGGTTGGGTGAAGAGTGCTCTCAGAGAGCAGGTGTGAGAGTCAAGTGGCGAGTAAGTTGGCCGTCTGTTGTGACTCTATGATTGGCCCTCGAAATTTATGCACGTCTAAAACACTGGAAGCGTGCCTTTCGTTTATCACAAAATGATCGATTTGGTTTCCCGTTTTTTGATGTGGAGACAGCCTGTAGCTTGATGGATACTTTTATGCTGGAACCATGTTTCGGGCTCCGGCGAAGTCGATCAGCCTCAGTCCGTTATCGGACGTTGGGTCGTGGATGCTGAATTTTCCGGCGGTTTCGCTAAAGATCCCTTCCTTGCCCATATTGGCATTGAAATCGTCAAGCACGATTTTTATATCTTGTCGGAGGCAGCGTTCATATGTACGCTCCAAGCGCTCATAGAAGAGATCCGTCGGGACAATAGCACAGATGAGCGAGATGTTGAATATTTTCGCTTTTATGCGGATTGTGGCTAGACGTTCCTCCTGAACGCTAGTACTCGGCGACGGAGTCTCTCTTCTACCACGAATCCAACACCGAATTTGCGCTTCTTTACGTGGCAACTGTGGTAGACGTCGCAAGACATCAACCAGCTGGCCAGAGGCACCTTCCCCATTAAGGGTCTGTTTATTCCACGTGCATACCCTCAAACGATAATCCTTTATACGTTTGCGTAATCAAAAAAAGGTGATCTCATCCGATGCTTTCTGAACCCTTTCATTGGGCGGTCTTTTAACGTGGCGGGATCCAAACCCAGGGCACGAGAAGTTTTACGCCTTCTCACTTCAGCTCACTCCCACACGGGTGTTTCAGCGCTACCCATATGATACTTGGATAGAAATATCCAAATGCTGTGAGCTGCGATTTTAATCGTACGCACAATAATCGCTTTTGACCTTCGTGTGCAGTCGTGGACTTCTGCACACGGAGTTCAGTCATATACAAGTCTGGTTGTATGCAACATGGATCGCCGGTTGGAAATTCTTCGAGGCTTGGGAACCTAAACCAATCTTAAAGTACAAGCGCCGAAGGGAATACAGAAGCTTCCGTGCCCTAGGATTTTATGGAATCAACTAAATACTTTATTATTGTACTGACTGTGAGAAAAAATTATGTTTTTTCTCTAAGTAAGCTAATTTGTGGAAATAATTGAGCATTCATTTGCTCAGAATGAAGCGTTTCATCACAGCTTGATTAAATAATTTTTGAAATTTTCATTTACCTAATAGTTTTAATCCGGCGCAGGAAGTGCAGATTTAATTTTGTTTGTGTGTCACCAGGAAAAAAACCCTTAACTATTTAATTTCATTAGTTTCCATATTAATTGCAGCAGAAAGCAGTACAAGGACTTTACACTAACACATGCCCAGGTACATTCGTACGTAGAAACTGCCATTAAACGCTTCCCTCTGTTTGAATGCAATAAATTTTATTTTAAAAACTACTGTATGAAAAACCCGCTTCATGTACTAAATACATAAAAATGTACTTACAAACATATGTACATATTTATGTATGTACTCGTAACGCCAGTCAACCGAGCAATGGTACATATATGTATGTTGCAGATTACAATAACAATGACAACAATTAAAGTGCCACCAACAAAAGGGCATGAATCAGCGACAATATTTCATGACACTTTTGCACAACGTTAATTTGCGTTCTTTCGTTCGACTTTTTCCTGGTCCTTTGAATTTTTTATAATATAGGTTAGTATTGCAAAGATGTTCAGTTGGTTTCCATAATTGTGGCGATAGCAAATATTTAAACCTTGGCGCTCCCATAACTTCAGTTCATTTCTCAGCTCTTCATTTGTAGTTATCACAACTAAGAGAATTTTACACTGGATGTCTCTTGAATGTAGGCATCGTTTTCTAATATAAATTCGACCAGTTGTGGAGAGGACGCGACGGACATGCGCAGAGTCTTACTTTCCACAATTCATTATGGGAAAACAATCGGCCTTTAGGGACTTCAATTATGGCAGTGTAGTACAAGGAATTACTATGAAGATGAAGTCAGTGAATCTGGAAAACAAATAAGAAAGTAAAATTTTTGTTAAACGAATTGCAAATTTCACACTTCAACTATTGCAGGCAGTTTCACGAAAGTAATTTAATGGAATATGATTATTTAAGGTTTAGTTTTTAAACTAAATTTTTATTTAAATACTAAAATTGGTATTTTTCAAAAAATTATTACAAAAAATCTTTCACAGTATTCACTGTGAAAGTATTCTCATTTTTTTCGTATTTCCATTCAATCGTTTCTGGCGAACGAAAACTGAAGGAAAGTACAAATAACAAGTAATTTTTAGCAAAAAAAGAACCGACTTCAATTCTCATATAAAAAAAAATATATATATATATATATCTTATGATCCACTGATCGGATCTTAACCAGATTAGTACGGGACCACCTTTGAGACACTACCTTTCCGATGCAAAATTATCGAAATCGGTTGACGTGTCCAAAGTTATGCGGTAACATACATAAAACACAACTAAACCATCCTCCTTTTTTGGAAGTCGGTTAAAAATCAAGACTAAAATGAAGTTTCTGTTTAAAAATCTGATTAAATTATTTACTATTAATAAAATATTTTAGCGAACCGCGAACTTCCGAACCTTACTGCCGCCCTTTAACTTCGGTTCCCCGAAACTCTGTCCTACGTTCACTCCTACCCAAAAGTAATCCAACACCTGCGTCAGTTTGTAGTAGTCATTTCTTTATGAATGTCACAACGCAAGTACATAGCTTCTTTTCTACCTAATAAGTATAAAAAATAACAAACTAAATTAGATTTGGGAAAAAAGGAAAACAAAAACTGTCTTGCAAAAAGAGGAGGTCGAAAGTAAAATGCCTGCAAATAGACAAAGCGGGTTGAACCAACAACAACAACAGCAATATTAATCCATAGCCTTGC